GGAAGCCATTGTTTGTGTTCGTTTGCCTTCATCCTCATACAGTAATGCCATGCATTTAGGCATTCTAGAGTCAGTGGTGATTCTGGGGATAGTTGACCTCTGTAACATGGTCAAGTGCCATGGTGCTTAAATACAAATAGGGACCGTATCATAACAAATTATTACCTTTCACTTATCAACAATGTAGAATATAGTATACAACTTTGTACAAAACATCATGAGTGTGGACCTATCATCAACATATTTATACAGAGGGATATATATATAACATAACCAAGAAGTGCATAGATTTATACAACATAGGATTATTTGAATATGTGAGTTTCACATAGATCTATTACCTACCTTTAGTCTCTTAAAGAGAATATTTCATGTATAATTTATGCAATTGCGCTTGCATGTTCTCTTGACGGGTTCATAATTGATTTGTAAAGGCCAATTTCGTCATTTAATCCTGGGTCATTGATTTCTTGTATTGATAACATTATGCATCTTCCTGAGGCAAGGAAGTTAACTGACAATAAAAGTCCAGTTTCCACCCTTGACGAACTAAGCGGGAATTATGGAGTTAAATTTTGGCTGGACAAACGAGTCTATGCAAAGTCCAATCTATATCGCGTAACGAAATTGACATCCGGTTCGTAAACTGCCGTACAGATTTCTGTTGAGTGCAAGATTTGCAAAGCATGTGTAATGACAACTAAGCATCAACAGATATTTTCCCATCTTTTCATGTTTTTAATCAAGGTGCTCATGGGATTTGATGCACTTCTCGGGTTCGACCCATTCTATTACAATATAGATCTTGATTAACGATCTTCACTGGGCGACACCATTTTATTTGATTTGAAGCAAATGCAAGTGGTATGAGAGATGGACTCTGATTGGTCAATAGGTGGGACATAGAAGGGACATAACTCACCCTGGAGAAGATGAACATTATGGCCTGTTATTATTGAAGGACATGATAGTAAAAAGTGCCCCTCATTCTCCACCCTGCCAGAACTGCATCGGGTACAAAACCTTTCATCAGCTGTTTCATTTTAATTACATTTAATCTTTCATATATGAATGTTCTAACATATATTCACTAAGATCCTATTTTGAGAACTATAGTAATATTAATATAACACAATCTGTAATGTCTTAGATATGCACTCCAAGCTACATCATGTTTTTATGGGGGCACGGGTGGCCCAGTCATTTAAGGCATGCGAATCGCTGTGCAGAGTTGCGTCCCTTGGGCACGCCAGAAACCTATGATTGTGGGTTTGAATCCCGGTTCACTCCGATTATGTTTCTAGCCTTGACAGCACCATACCCGTGCTCGTGGGTTTCACTGAAGTGGTAAACGTCTGAGATCTGCATCTCTTCGGGCTTTCCCTCCCACATTAAGCTGACACGCCGTGATATGACTGGAATACTGTTAAAAGCGGCGTTAAACCCAACTCGCTCACTCACTCATGTTTATAAATCCATTTCATTTCCATGTTACTGATTATATGCCCCCCAACATGGTCCAATCCAACGGCAAGTGATTTGTCAAAGTAAGCAATCATGTGAACCCACTTAGGAGAAAAGACAAAGACCTCTTGACTCAAGTTATTTCATGTGAATATGACGCCATCTTATCACATGGCATATCTCATACACAAACAATTCCCAATGATTTTCTACCAGGAGCATTACAATAATGTATTCTAAATGTTTTTCAAGCCATATCATGTTAACATACTTCTTGCGTGTGTCACTGTGCTTAGAAACTGTGTAAACAAATATTTCTCCTGATGTCCAGTCCTTGTATACACAGACCACTAATAATACAGTTCAGATTATCAAATTACAACAAAATACAGTTGGAAGTTTAAATCATCAAATTACCAAGATGTTTATGAAAAAATGTTCCACCAACTCTATAATAAGAGTATAAATCATACATTTCGACTTTCTTAAATATCACTATGCAAAGCATATTCATCCTCTCCATAAATGTCAATGATGTCATGAACGTTTTGTTTGTAGTTAAATGCTGCACGTAGCAATATTCGAACTAATGTATTCAACGCAATAAGCGCCCCGCTCTAATAAGCATCCTCTGAGATATTTGCAATTATATTGACTAGGGAACAATCCCAATCAGCACCCGTTCCGATTGATCAATGTACACAAGACTTATTTATTCGTGTATAATACGCACTCGTGTGTTATATGCACCCTTGATTATGGGCAATTAAATTCTGGAAAAAATATATTTGTCGTATGTAAACATTTCAGGCTGTCAGCAAAAACTACGAAATTTACGATCTTTCAACTCTGTTTTTTTTCACCAAAATAATATTCTAATAAAAGCCCCTTATTTCTAATTCTGAGAGCGCCCCTGGCGCTATTTACGTCGAATATGGTATATGACGTAAACCTGTAACTAAGAGAGCTTGGACAAGGCAATCCTGTGATTGATACTATGAGTAACACTCCATGCAGCCGGGGTACGAGACAATCAACCAAGTCACCGATCCTGGCTACCCAATCAATTCAGTCAGCTCTTATGACAAACATGGGTTGCTTGCTCACCTTGGGACCAATTCTAACCCAGAAACCCCAGAAAACAGTGAAAATGACCACTTATATAAATGTCCCTAGATCATCTTATCTAACAGTCTTAAAGTCGTTTTCACGTATCACACATGCTTGTACAGTAAACGGTTACTCTTGTTATTTTCTGAAAATAAAGTCATGTTTCTAACTTATGATCAGATATCGCCTGTTTCAGTGCCCCTATTTAACACATTACTTAGTGTATTTGTCATTGCCACAAAATAACGGAATCTTTCCTTGGACATTTTCAATGTTTCTTCACTGTTCAAAATCTTTGTGAAGACATATTGTTTTAATTAAAATAAGCTTATTTTTTCGTCTCGGGAAATGCCAATGCCAGGGAGCATATTGTAAAGGGAGCTAACTTTTGTGGCAAACAACATATGCGGAAATGCGGTAACAAAGTCATAAAAACCTGCAAAGATGCACCAGTGAGAATGACAAACACCATGACAACCTACTCTGTTTAGGTCAATTGGGGTAAATTTCTTTGGTAAACAAACAACAATAAATCTGTTCATATTGCAAACAGGTGCACGCATCAAGGATAGGTTAGGAGTAGATGCTTCAGTGATACCTGTCTAGTTTCTTGACTTGGACCAGTCTTTCAGGAATACACTCAAACATGAGTGTGATTATAATGGCCTTGTGACTGATGACAAGATTTGTTTACAAGGAACTCAAAACTCTTCTGTTATGTTTAAACATTTCACATATTATGATGTACCAAACACTTTCAAATTTGGTGTAGCAAATTTTGTGCATTCAAAAATGTTATGGTGAAATGTTTCTTTCATTCCCATCAAAGATGTACAGCTGTCTACAGTGTCATAATGGCGGTGTGTCTTTCTCCTAGACCCTAATATGTATTAAAACAGCATCAAGTGAAGGTACCCTGATCTATCTTGACATCTGTTTTTGGTATCCAAAGTTGAACGAGTGATCGGTCTGTTAAGTCACACTGTCCATATCAGGGTTTGTTTGTTTGTTGTTTAACGCCGCACTCAGCAATATTCCAGCTATATGATGGCGGTCTGTAGATAATCGAGTCTGGACCAGACAGTCCAGTGATTAATATCATGAGCATTGATCCACGCAATTGGGAAACGATGACATGCATCAACCAAGTCAACGAGCCTGATCACCCGGTCCCATTAGTCGCCTTTTACGACAAGTATAGTCGCCTTTTTCAGCAAGCATAGGTTGCTGAAGACCTATTCTACCCCGGATCGTCACGGGTCCCTTATCAGAGTGAGTGAGTGAGTATGGTTTTACGCCGCTTTTAGCAATATTCAAGCAATATCACAGCGGGGGACACCAGAAATGGTCTTCACACATTGTACCCAAGTCGGGAATCAAACCCGGGTCTTCGGTGTGATGAGTGAACGCTTTAACCACTAGGCTACACAACCGTCCCCCTTATCAGAGTGAATGAGTGGGTTGGATTTAACGCTACCTTGTACAGTATTCTAGTAATATCACGGTGTGTCCCCTTACTGTGGGAGGAAAGCCTGAAGTGATGCATGTCTCAGTTTGGTGAAACCAACGAGCACATGTATGGTGCTGATAAACCTAGAAACATAATCGAGGTGAACCAGGATTTGAACACATGATCATAGGTTTCTGGCATATCAAAGGGGCGCAACTCTGCATAGCGAATTGCCATAGCTGATTCTTCCACCCTGGCTCCAAGTCCATATCATAATTCGTATCACTTTTCAGTTATCCATAAATTCCCAAGATATTTTACTTTTGAGTTTGAATATATAACAGCCTGTCACAGTTTCTTGTAAAGAGGAAAGACCAAAGTGAAGAAGGTTGTAGATATAGATGTGAAGCACTATGATGAAACCCACAAGCATAGGCATCAGATGCTCACTGTTCCTGAACCATATTATTTCACCTTCAGCCAGCCCTTCTGTAATACTACAGCCCTAAATGAAGCAAGTCTAGATTTCCACTGATTTGGGTCTGAAACGTCAACGTAACCCCATTGAGGATGTTTGGGGTTTCTTATCAATTTTATAAATCAGAGACTATAGATAGGTACATGGTCTCAGATTTAAATGTAAATATACTTGCTTGTTTCTATCAAAATAATATATATTCAGAGACAAAGCATTGTCTAGCATGATGCTGACAGGCAAAGGGACATCATAGGGCTGATCTGTAATCAGCCTAAAATCTGATACTAGAATGAACACAACTGATCACAGTACAATTCTGAAAAAGAACTCCATGCAGGATATTAGGGTTGGGACAAGCTCAATTTACTACCCAAGTACCAGACCCAATATGACCAAACCCTTCCCAGATACCTGATGCAGGTCCCAAGACCCAAGTTACCTGTCCCAGCCCAACAGGGCATCAGATCAAGTTGATCACGATGGACAACAAAAACTTACCTTTGGGAGTTGTGCTGTTTGTCTTTGGTTTCTTGTTAAAATAATCCAATGCAGGTTTTTCTCCAACTCTCTTAACTTGGAAATATTTTTGTTTCCATTTTGATTTACCCAACAAATGTAACTTTCCATGTTTGGGTTCACTTAGCTTGTAGAGGTAATCCTGTAAAAAAGGGAATGTTAGTTATATTTTGTTCCAAGAAGTTTCATGGTAATTTCTGAAGAAGTCCTGAATCTCGAATTGAATGATCTATAGCTTTTTCACTGAATAAGTATCATAAGCTGATTAACGTAATGAACAAATATGAAGACACCCAAGAAGCATGAATGATGATCCTGCAATTAAAAAGTGTGAACTCTTTAAATTGTGACTTACTACTGAGGAAATACTTCATTAGGTAATTCATAAATTGCCAGTGATTCCATGACATTTGTCGGTAAACCAACTGATTTTCTTGCACTTATGTTTGAAAAAAAAATAGGCTACCCGCATTACTATTTCCTTAAGTTAGTAAGGGATCAATAAATATGACATGTTTGGGTTGATAGAATAATCTATTTTCAGTGTTATTCCTTACTAATTACACATAAGATATAGTCAGCATAATGTCAGTGTGATAAAGTATTCCATATTTAATATAGTCCATGATTATAGAGTTCAAACATGAAAACGTAGAAAATGTAATAATAATGAAAGCATTAACTTCAAGGATAGTGAATGGATAATTTGAAAACACTGGGCAAAATAACAAATAGGTTTTAATGAAAATGTTTTAAATTGTAGTGCGTGTGTGTATGTGGGAGGGGGAGAGCGAGGGGGAGGGGGTGTTGGGGGTTAGTGATTCAGGTATGATGAAGTTGGCAGCATCGCAAGGGATGACCAATCGCTTGGCGAGCTCCTGCGGTTAAGTCATCGCTACTAAAATACTCACTGCCACTATTACCCGGTTGATTGATTACCAGTTTTATTACCCCTTTGAAATCCAGAACAATCTGATCCCTAACAATATGTTTAAACTTATGTTGAAAATGGCCTATCATGTACTAGTTACAGAAAGTAAACAACATCGCTTCAGGCAACGGCTTGCCCCCTTCCAGTGAAGGCAGCTGAATCAAGAGTGATCCTAACTCCTCATTACTAAAAAGGCATGTTATCAAAGTTAATAAACATATTTATCACAATATAAAAAAGTGACAAGTCCAAGATAATTGAAATTGGGCCACTGTCAAAGAAACTGAAAAGATAATAGCACTGACCTCAAATATCACCTCTTCGTTAGAATCCATGCTCAATAGTGTTGTTTCCGGATATGTGACGTCAACAGGTGCCCGATACTATATCCGTCATGGGTACTCTCAGTAATGAACAGTTCTCTGCTGAACACAACGGAGGCCAAGCATATTTATGAAATGTTAATCAAAGTTCCATCCAAGATTGTGATACTTACTTAGATAGATTTTCATACCTGAGATATAATTAAAATAAAATTAAAATATATAATTAATAATGTTTATTGTTGAAATTTTAAAACATAAAATTTATAAAAACACATTTTGAAATTAATTTTACAAGAGACCATAGACCATAGATTTATGGTCTCAGATATTATTAATGTTTTCGTCTGTGACAGCGGCTGTATATAAAAACATTATGCTTCACGGACTTCTTCAGGCTGACAATAAACAATTTTATGACTTATGGAGCTTCTGGTGGTCAGCGTTAATTGTTGATTGATGACCAATAAAGTCAATGGGGCGTGAATACACGTCATTGGGGACTGCATATACCGTTAGGCGGTGGTTCACAAGTGGATGTTTGACCTAGGTGTCACGGTGTTATGTAACGTAACTAGCATTATTAGCCGGAGGTTCGGCTCTCCGTGATCAAAGCCAACAGGTCCTTCCGTTAGCCCGCAGCCGGCAGCGTGGCATATGGTGTAATGATCTGACAGACTGAGAAACTGACAGGTGCTTCAACGTTGCACTTGTGATATTGCAGCCATAGTTCACGCTGCAGTTTCACAAGCGCTGGATTTCTCCTGTCTTCCCAACGTACAATAGGGTTCTGATGTCAGATACGGTGTTCCAGAAAGCATGCCGTTTGTTATCCCGTGGTCAGTACTAGATATATGTGCCTCACATATATATTTAAGTATCAGAATGACCTAGCACCACCTTATTTGTCCAGTCTACTGGCCATTTACAAACGCCAGAGGTTACTGCGCTCACAAAATCAGCTCTTGTCAATTCAACATCACAAACTAAACAATTATGGAAAGAAATCTTTTAATATTGCCGCCCCAGAATTGAAGAATCAACTACCTCTGAGCATAAAGCTATCTCTAGACTGACATTTTGTCCCATAAATAAAATTATCTTATTTAAAAATATATACATCCACAAAATAAAAATATTAAAATCCAAATGAAACCCGGAACAATCCTTAATGTCAGAACTGAGGCAAACTAGATTTGCTAAATCATTCTAGCGCACTGTCACATTGTTTATCACTATATTTGTGATATTGTCTTAATTTGGATCGATCCAGATGTTGAAAGTCACGTTTTAAAGAAGGATATGCATGTGAGGCAACATTACTGCGGACTGTTTTCCACAATGCTCCAAAGTCTTCATGACTGATAACTATTTCCCTTCCCCCAGCAACTTGACATCATCCAAGAATATCCGTACAGCGACAATACAGACCTGGCCTGTGTATAATCGATATTCCTAAAGAGAAAAAACCCTATCTCCTGGCAACAGGTATATATTTACATATACAGTAATGCCGGTATATGTTCGGTCTCAGAGAGGAAGCGTGAAGATTTATCATCATTTGTGGGGAAAAAATTACATTAAACATGTTTCCTCATGTTTTTTGTCTATATTTTACTGTCAATATGAAAAAAATACGCGTCGGAATTACACGAGAGTATAGAAGGAATGTAACTTTATTAACTGCTTAACACCATGAACATCAGGGTTAGAATAGGTCTTCAGTAGCCCATGCTTGTCTCCCCGTGAACATCCAGGTTAGAATAGGTCCTCAGCAGCCCATGCTTGTCTCCCCGTGAACATCCGGGTTAGAATAGGTCTTCAGTAACCAATGATTGTCTTCTCGTGAACATCCAGGTAAGAATAGGTCTTCAGCAGCCCATGCTTGTCTCCCCGTGAACATCCGGGTTAGAATAGGTCTTCAGTAACCAATGATTGTCTTCTCGTGAACATCCAGGTAAGAATAGGTCTTCAGCAGCCCATGCTTGTCTCCCCGTGAACATCAGGGTTAGAATAGGTCCTCAGCAGCCCGTGCTTGTCTCCCCGTGAACATCAGGGCTAGAATAGGTCCTCAGCAGCCCATGCTTGTCTCCCCGTGAACATCCGGGTTAGAATAGGTCTTCAGCAGCCCATGCTTGTCTCCCCGTGAACATCCAGGTTAGAATAGGTCTTCAGCAGCCCATGCTTGTCTCCCCATGAACATCCGGGTTAGAATAGGTCTTCAGCAACCAATGATTGTCCCCCCGTGAACATCAGGGTTAGAATAGGTCTTCAGCAGCCCATGCTTTGTCTCCCCGTGAACATCCAGGTTAGTATAGGTCCTCAGCAGCCCATGCTTGTCTCCCCGTGAACATCCGGGTTAGAATAGGTCTTCAGCAGCCCATGCTTGTCTCCCCGTGAACATCCGGGTTAGAATAGGTCTTCAGCAACCAATGATTGTCCCCCCGTGAACATCAGGGTTAGAATAGGTCTTCAGCAGCCCATGCTTTGTCTCCCCGTGAACATCCAGGTTAGTATAGGTCCTCAGCAGCCCATGCTTGTCTCCCCGTGAACATCAGGGTTAGTATAGGTCCTCAGCAGCCCATGTTTGTCTCCCCATGAACATCAGGGTTAGAATAGGTCTTCAGCAGCCCATGCTTGTCTCCCCATGAACATCCGGGTTAGAATAGGTCCTCAGCAACCAATGACTGTCTCCTCGTGAACACCAGGGTTAGAATAGGTCCTCAGCAGCCCATGTTTGTCTCCCCATGAACATCAGGGTTAGAATAGGTCTTCAGCAGCCCATGCTTGTCTCCCCATGAACATCCGGGTTAGAATAGGTCTTCAGCAACCAATGATTGTCCCCCCGTGAACATCAGGGTTAGAATAGGTCTTCAGCAGCCCATGCTTGTCTCCCCATGAACATCCGGGTTAGAATAGGTCTTCAGCAGCCCATGCTTGTCTCCCCGTGAACATCAGGGTTAGAATAGGTCCTCAGCAGCCCATGCTTGTCTCCCCGTGAACATCCGGGTTAGAATAGGTCCTCAGCAGCCCATGCTTTGTCTCCCCGTGAACATCAGGGTTAGAATAGGTCTTCAGCAGCCAATGCTTGTCTCCCCGTGGACATCCAGGTTATAATAGGTCCCCAGCAGCCCATGCTTGTCTCCCCGTGGACATCCAGGTTAGAATAGGTCCTCAGCAGCCCATGTTTGTCTCCCCGTGAACATCCGGGTTAGAATAGGTCCTCAGCAGCCCATGCTTTGTCTCCCCGTGAACATCCGGGTTAGTATAGGTCTATCCCAATTGCGCGGATAGATATCACTCACAGGATTGTGTGGTACAGACTCGATTATTTACAGACCGCCGCCATGTAGCCGTCATATATTCTGCGTGCGGCGTTAAACAAGACACGAAATGGGAATATACCAGTAAATGCTTAAATACTCACCACCAAAAGAAACGCGAACCATAACAACATATAGAGAAGTGTGTACGTTAAGAAGAGATGTTTCAAATGTTACCACAGAGTGTCTTTATCCTTATCACGAAATGCTACCATTGATTTCCAAACTATACACGCTAATACTGCACGAAGACAAATGGATTTCGAGTCATGGATCTATGACGTCACATGTGATGCGTTCATGAGCGTCAGTTCACACAACATACCAGTGTGTTCGTTTGTGCATCGAACCAATGTTATATTGCTCGAATATGAGTAAATCTTCATATATTAACTAATATGTATGGTATTCGCGTTTCTTTTGGCGGTGAGTATATATGTCTTATTGACAAGACGATTAGCTATCTCCTCTTATCCATTGGTTATAGTGTACATGGTCACCATACAGTGTATACACCAATACAACATATGTGACAGTGACTGTGTAAAATGTGATTCACTTGGGTAAGTGACATAATGCCTAAATATTTCAGTCATACAAATTGATTGAAAGATCTCACCATTGAAGTTCAAAAGGGCATAGAAACATCACATTAGACAAATTATGCTTGGATTAGAAGCCACACAAAAAATAACAAATATACACTGACTATCGTTTTCTGTAAGCCCTATCATTTTCAATCACTGTGTGGTGAAATTAAACATAAAAATGTTTGGAAGTATCATAATAAAATACATGGACATATTTCTCAATCAATATTTAGGCGTTTTGCATCTTGCCTAAGTGACATCACAGGCATTTTACACTGTTAGATGACTGTTAGATATATATATACCCCCCCCCCCCCCCCCCCCCCCCGCGCGCTTGAGCGATCGCCCCGTATTTAGATAATAAATGTATGGATGTTGAAGTTTGACCTCTTTGACCTTCGATCGGGGCTTTAAAGAGATGTTAAACTCTGACGTAACTTTTTATGCCTCCTTGTGAACGAATCCGGAAATAACATGTGATCATGTTATAAAATATGCAAAAGGAATTCCCTTCAAGTGAAATAGAAGGAAAGGTGTATTATTTCTACGCATACCGGAGACGTATAATGATCGTATTCAAAATAAACGCTAAATTCGACGAACAATTCCAATAATGTGAAAAGCATTTTTGACGACCATGTGCTCGTATCCTGGACACTACGGTAATGGTCCTAGACAACGACGTGGGGAAATAACATTTGACAAGGGATTCATTTTAGATCTGGTAAAAAGAACTGTAAAATCCGCGGTATTATCCGGTACTGTTTACCCGTATATTCCAAATGCATTGATATATAATTTTGCAAAGAAAAAAATGGGCACATTGGATTCGCACGTGAAAGACATTTATGAATTTTGGTTTAAAAAAACCAAACAAAAAAACCCCAGTGATTTCTTGAGACTACAACAGCATGACGGACGTCGATTAACATCATCCATGCCAACTCTCTCTCTCTCTCTCTCTCTCTCTCTCTCTCTCTCTCTCTCTCTCTCTCTCTCTCTCTCTCTCTCTCTCTCTCTCTCTCTCTCTTGTTGGAACAACGTGCATCAAGATGAAGGAACTTCTGACGAAAATTCTGCACGTATTTCCAAATAATATGACACAACATTCTTTTCTTTGACATATGTTGTATAACCAACGTGTATGCGGGCCGGTGGCGGGAAATGACATGCGGAAACGGTCCATTGCCGGATAATCTAGTGATTTGTGATCAATGTTTCCGCCTACGCCCATACCATCACTTTGAAGAAAATAACTTTCAGATTGTCTTATAAAGTCAATGTTTTAAGGTAATACATCCTAAAAACAAATTACATAAATCATAAAATTGGATTTATTATTTAATAGTCTTTTGATGAAAAAATAGAGGTTGTTCCGCAAGTGTGTCTTTGGATAGTATATATGCTGTATTAGGAATAAACATTGTATTTAGCGCGCATTGTTTGTCTGTAAACACTGAAGTAGTACCTAAGACAATTTTATATTTGCATATATATCTGTAAATGATCTCAACAGTTACCGTTTTTACCCGTTGGCTTTATCCTGCCGAAAAACCTAACAATTATTCTTTGTAAATCAAACCTTGTATGGTGTAACAATAAACACAATATTGATTTTTCAGTGTTGAAACAGATCAAGACTGCAAATTTTCAAGCGTTTTACATAATGATTATCACGTACAGTGATGCTTGACAAAAAAAACCATATTTCCTGAATTCGACTGAAGCTTCCCAAAATTGTTTGAGTTGTTCAAATAGTCTTCACGAATATATCATGGTATTATCCTTGATGACGTCAAACCTCGATTGCTACGAGATCCCGCGAGGATGGTTTGTGTCAGTATGGCAGCCAAAATGATGTAGGTTGGAGTACTTTGGTCGAGGAAAGAGTGGAAGGCTTTACCATGTGGCGGCAGGTTTTTGTCATCTGTCTGCTGATCACCTTGTCTGATATCTCAAGAGGAGTTCAGGCAAGACTAGAGCAAGAGCCATGTAAGTATATGTTTATTAGACCTCGCCTTCTGTTGAACATAACATAAGGTTGCCTCCAGTTTTGTTTTGACAGTTCTGGCATCGCGACCAGACAACTGTTAGTCGAGTGATCCCGTAGATATATTCAGTTGTTTATCTCACCCCAAGACATACTTCTTTTGTTTTAGTAATGCTAGTCACCAAAGAAGAAACTGATAAATGCAACTGATCAAAGATTATCCTGAAATATGTTTACCAAACAGCTCCTGGCTGTCTTGTTCTCGCTTAGACCTATCAACTGCTTATAAGAATATCGTCATTATCTGTAGACTTACATCGTATGGTGTCTCGTAGTCTTTACTAACATTCCGAGTTGTATTCCAAAGAGTAATTCTTGATCCTTTATTTAAGTTATCACAAATACCACTTAATCAATTTGCAGAAGCGTCAATTATAAGAGTATGCGTGACTGATGAGACATCTTATCATGGCTGTCAGTCATGGAATGGTGGAAGTGTAATAGGCCTACTTATAACACAGTACCTTCAGAAACATTGTGAGAAATACCAATATTTTCTGTAAATGTGTTATAAAGATTCTTCAAGTGCAATATGATAACAAGGACATATTTAGTCTTATTCTATCAATGTATATTGACATATTGGATATGGATCTGTGTTGACATATCTTGAAAATGTTGATTGATAGCCAATGTTATTTCACATATAGGATCCAATTTTTTGCTGTAAAGTGTTCACTGTTCTCACTACTGACCATCATGGGGAGCCAGAGGGGGTGACTGCTTGTGTCAGACATAAGAATCAATAACAAATCAATACAAGGTCCCACTTATCACCTATCGCAAATAGCCTGCAATCAGTCTTGTTCTTTGTGTGGCTGTGGCCCAAGGGAATTGTACTGGAATTATGTACTGGTAATGCTATGACGATTATGAAACAGTAGTTACATACATATGTGGGTCTCCCACATGAATTATATGTACAGTGATACATTTATAATGTTAATCATATCATTTATTTTCATGATGTTCTATGAATGTGGAAATTGCTGCCTTACTTGTGTAACGTGTGGTGTAGGTTTAGTTTTACTTCCACCATGTCCACGTGTCAGATGTATTCTTCAATTTCTTGATAAGAAAATATTGTCATCAATATCCATAACCATGATAACCAGAAAATAAAATTAATATTTGATGAAGTAGCAATAACATGCTGCCAATTAATTTTCGTGTATCATTTTTATGTCTATGCTGAGCTCTTAATAAGCTACGCCACCATAAGCATAGTTGATAAGTCAATTAATTTTGAGTTGTTTGCATACAAGTATTTATGAAAAAATTCAAAAACCCAATAGTATAAAAACATTCTGCATAATTACAAATGTATCAAAATGTTTATCAATTATGAACATGCATACCTGTGTACCATTTCTTTACAGATCTTTATATCCTGATAGAACGCAGGCATTACACATACATGAACTCTAGTGCAGAGAGTACTTCCTAAAAAATCCTTCAGATGATTAAAGGGGCAAGAAGTAGCCCTGGTACTAGAAACAATAAAGAAGATGTAATCCATAAAGTTTCATGTTCTTCCAACTTCTAGATTCCTTTTAGAGACTTAAGCATTTTACAGAAAGCGATATAGATTGTGAGGTGGTGTGCTGCTTCATGCCCACAGATGCTGAGCATTTATCATCATCAGTAAGGATGAGTATTTAAAATCAGTATGAAAGGCATAGGTCCTTGTCATAACCCTAAATGTTAAAACTTAAACATTTAGAGGGTTCAGAACAGAGGCAAATCTAAAAGATCCCAGGGGCTCCCATTAATTTCAAAAACAGTTAACACTAATCCTAGTTTGATCTGCAGTACTTTATCATGACTGCCTATACACCATGGGGAGCCTGAAGTATCTTATTGTTGTTGACCAGCTGGTATTCAGATAACACTGCCAGATGTAAGGTAATCCCTCAAGGACAGAATCTTATGAGACAGCCCTGTCACTGAAATCAGAAGTCCTGCTGACCAGACTTCGTCCCATTGTCTGAGATGAAAGTACATGTCATTAGCATTGTTTGTACTGGGTACTGTTAATGTTATAGAAATTAAGGGTCCTTGTTGTTTGAATCTCCGGAACCCGCACAATCTTTTGACAGAAGGGTTATTATCTCCTGACTTTCGTTCTAAGTATCCAAATACTGATTTAGTATTAATTCATGTTATGGTTATGTTGGAAGCGCTAAGTATGGCAAGTTTTTGTGTATGTCTAATTTTGATAGCATCGTAAATAGGGCAGGGATGGGTAACTCAGGTACTCGGGTCGAGTGGGTCCTGAATAGGACCTGGGTACCCACAGGACTACCCGGACCTGTGGTTAGTCACATGATATATATTGTTTAAGGACAATATGACTCCATGGTTACAATTGCGCGGATCGATGCTCATGATATTAATCACTGGATTGTCTGGTCCAGACTCGATTATTTACAGACCGCCATCATATAGCTGGAATATTGCTGAGTGCGGCGTAAAACAACAAACCAACCACGGTTACACTACAAGTTGCTAATGTTGGCATTACTTTCTGACTGTGCACACATTCCTGAATTCTGACTTTCACATGTTTGGATAAAGATAAAACTTCAGTGTATGCATGATAAGATTGTTGCACAAGTGTGCGTGTAAAACAATTCCCAGTCGGACATTTTGTACCCAACTTTAAGCCGACAGCAGGTACCCGGGGAGGGTCGGGTAATAATGGAGCAGGTACCCAGGTACCGGTAGTTATTTTGAACTCGTCCCAACCCTAATCATCAACTAAAGGCTGTGACTTTAACCAACAGTCCCAAGCTCGAGGTAGGGCAAAGGGGTAGCCTAGTGGTTAAAGTGTTTGTTCATCACGCCGAAGGTCCGGGTTTTATTCCCAACATGGGTAATTTGTGTGAAGCCCATATCTGGTGTCCCCCGCCATGATATTGCTGAAATATTGCTACAAGCAGGATTAAGCCTTGTAAGCTCAGCCAACAATAGTCCATTATCTTAATGCATATAAATCTTCAGAAAGTGATGACTTAAATGTCTTTCTTGATAGGTTCTGGTGTAGTTTGAATAGTCAACTGTCCATATATTCAGTCATGACTAGTTTGTATACGTTGGTATGATTAGACTATTTCTTGTGAAACTTGGCTTTCTGATGTCATCGTTCTGTTATGGGTTGTGTGAGCAAGCACCTGTTGTTGTGATCTCGAGATAAGTTGTGCGTCCATCCTAATCCAGGGCAAGCACCTGCTCTGCTTGTGGTTTTTGTCCTACTTGGCTTAATATTGTCACATGTACAAGTTGCAGGCAATGGATTGAGTGGAATTACTTGTTATTGTAGTACAATGCCAGGACATTATTTACTTCACTAAGTTTTTCATTAGAGGTTTCATTGATGTGGCACCTCAGGGATTTTTTCTAGGATTCCGTACTAAGTACCGTTGTCAGGTAAATTGGGAAAAAATCATTATTTAGATTTTTTAAAAGTTCTTATTTTACTTAATTCAGAGGAATTTTAACATTGCATTCAAAGCAATAATGTTAAACTAAGTCTTAAAGCCTCTTTCTTTATCTTGGTTGTGGGGCAGTAGGGTAGCCGAGTGGTTAAAGCGTTCGCTGCTTACGCCGATGACCCGGGTTCGATTCCCCACTTTGGTACAATGTGTGAAGCCCATTTCAGGTGTCCCCCCACCGTGATATTGGGAAATATTAAATTCCAATTTGGGAATTTTTACTGACATTTTCTGCAAACTTAATGCTGAATATCAGCCTCTAGTCAGGCCCAGATAAGTCCCTGCACCATCCAAATTGTTGCTGCGTTTGATTGTCATAATTGTATTAAAACATTTGTCTGCTTGTTTTAAAAGAAATAGAAAAGCAAAATATATTTGTTTCTTTTAATTTAAGGGTTTCTAGATACTGCATGCAAATGGCAAAAAGAATGTGAACTTATTCTTGTTGCCATAGGTAACTAGAGGTTGCCATGACATGGCTGTGAAAAACTGATGCTGATATGCAGTGTCCATGGTGTTGGTTGTTGCACATTTATGTGTCAATCAGACAAAAAACAAAACATGGACTAGGAGGGAAGCAGATTAAACAGACGGTATTAAAAGTTTGACATTTTGTTAATTATTCCTGTGACTGTTATCACTGGTAATTGAAAAGTAGATTGACTTGAAAAATAGCATTCAAACAACCATAACGCCATGAGATGCATTTGGAGGCTGAAAGAGATCGTTAGGTAAACATGGTAAACATGGTAAATGTCAGCCAAACTGAACGGCTTTTCAAATTAAACAGAGTTAGGAGCTACAATCAGACGCTGTGACTCCGTTAGTTCTGTTTTCATGCCTCATTCATGTCATTGGCCATGGTGTTACATGATAAACAGTGGTTATTCTTCATAGTAAATACTCTGTATTCTCAGATTAGACTGATTACTTTGAGAATAACCTATGGACAGATAATCAATAATTCTGAGTTGCGAGGAGGTTGTTTTAAGAAGAAAAATGTGAGAGACGGTTGAAATATGTGGGTCTCCTGACCTTAGATGGAGACATCGGCTCCGGTAGGCAGTTTTTGGGACAATGTCACATTCAACTGGTTGTGACGTCATGAAGAATGTGGTCCTATTTTCCATGTTCTTCACAAACATCGCAATTTTGAAAACAATGGGAAAAATTGTACAGACTAGTCGCTCAGCATGAAGCAAAATGTGTGCTCGCTGAGAATTACTGAAATTAATTTCAACACTAAGCATGGCTTGGGGAGTAGTACTGCAAATTGCAGTTATCTGAGTGTTTAGCTTATATGCCCCAGTATGAACACACTGCCAAGTTCCCACCCCCTGTCTTTATGGGGGGCACGGGTGGCCCAGTCGTCTAAGGCGCCACAATTCGCTGAGCAGAGTTGCGTCCCTTGGGCACACCAGAAACCTATGATTGTGGGTTCGAATCCC